TGCTTAATCTGAAAAATAGCACTTTTGATAATGAGCATTGTGCCATTCACTGACCGTAATATCAAGTTTACATACAGTTGGCACTTATGCCCGACAAAGGATTGGTTAATTTTCGATTTAAACATGTGGTGCAACCATTTTTAGACTTAGGCCCCACCAAGCTCGATAAAGACTTGCCATAAACGTCCTCTTCATGTAATCTTCGATTCCTTTACTTGTATGATATTTTTGCATCTCCTTTTTCTCGTGAAGTAGATATTTTCGTTTCAAATTTGACAAAGTTGTAAGAGTTGATAACGATATCTCAAAAAATACATATAAAATATGAAAAGTAATACTAATACAAAAGACACATCGAGGATTGGAGATATTTTTCTTCCAGATATTTATTTCCCCTTTCAATTAGTCTCCCTTCTCACGAAACGACCCTACAAATAATTCAAAAGAATTCCATCGCAATAAAAATATCATGAGAAAAAGTATAGAGTTTAGTGTTCTCTAGACTCTGGCATAGATTGCTAAATAACTATTACGAAATTCAATAACTAGTTAAAATAGAGTTAGGCTACTAAGATATAGAGAGAAGAAGGAACGAGAGACACCTTAAAACGAGGTCGTTTATCAGCGTTGAGTTTTCGGACTTGATACCTTATCTTCTTAGAGAAGAGCCTACTCTGTCTCTTCTCCTTGTACCTTAACACACTCGCTTCTCTTCTCGTGTTTCTCTCTTCATCCATCACCGGCACTTCTCCCCTCTGAACACACTCTAAATCGTTAATACTAGTTAATCAAGATTACATCATTAGTCATAACTTGCACAACAAGTAAGAGAATTCACACAAACTCACATAAATGGCACTGGCCGGAGCCATTAGCATTGAGGTATCTGTCCACAGAGGTTGCTGGAAGCGATCAGACCAAGCGTCAATAACTTCTTGATGGTTCAGATTCAGCTTCAGACCCAACTCTTTGTCTTCGTAATCTGTCGACATATTATCCCAAAACCCTGAGCTTGAGCCTTCTTGATCAGTACTCAAACTCTTCTCTTCTTCCTTCACATCTTTTTCGTCGTCTTCTTCTTTCCAAAAATCCCAATCGAGCTCATGTGAGCAACTTAAATTGTCAATGCTGATGTGGAAGATGTTGTCGAAACCATCCATAGAATGGTTGTGTTGGTCTTGAGAGAAAGCATTAATGGACTCGAAGGTTGAAGAAGGCTGATGATCAGCCACTTCTTCTTCTTGCTCTTCTTTCTTTGGTAACCTTGTAACCATGTCTTATCTTTTCCTCCACTCTTTTTTTTTCTTAGTCTATCCGAGCATCATACCAAAAACATAGATATATACATAGATATTATTACAGAGATCGGTTACTTTTTTAAGACTTTTATAACATGTGATGTATTTTGATTCGACGTGGAATCTTATCCCAAAAGTGACGGGATGATACCAAGCTGATTGGCTTCGAGAGTCCAGCTTGGAATGGGACCTCTCTTACTGCTCCTTTGGAGTTCACTAGAGACCATTTCATTTCAGCCCCTTTTTTACGTTATACTAGTAGCCGAGTCATAATCGAAAGTTTCTTTTTTTTTTTGTTCACTTTCTTTTCTATTTTATTATAGATTCATGTATTTGAATAATCTATCTAAGTATTCAAAATATCTACGGAAACACTTGAATACTTATATAGCATGTTTATGACGTGAAGCAAATGATATATTGGTTGATAAATATAAAATGAAGAAACTAGGTCGCCTGATTTTACTTGGATTTGCTAAAATGGGTAAAATGAGTCAAGCGCATCAAAGGGGTTAAGTTTCATATGTTATTCTCTAACACAATGTGATCTTCAATGTTATCTAAGATAAGAAAGCTGACCTGCATTTGAATTGTCAGGAAGCATCAAAAGAGCATTGAGGTTTGTAGCATCAATTGCATCTAACACAGCGAGAATGTGGTTACAAATCTTGAATCATCTGAGTGCTACGGAGATGTTGCAACATCCGTTCGTTACGCTTATTGATTCCTTCTCTGAACAAATTGCTACCTGTGCAATCTGGAGTTTTAATAGGCCGAGTCTGTCTGCTTAGTATCCTGAGTTCCTTGCTCCTCAAGTACTCTGCACCTTGTGCCTGAACTGTTTGTGAATTGAGAATTACTCAGATACACTCTTTTAAAGTTTATATCCATTCATATAAATCACCACCCAGAAGTTTTCAAGATAGTAATGTACAGCTCAATAAATCCTCCACAACAGTTACATTACGGTGAAGGAAATTAGTAAATATATTCTGAATTCTCAGCGAGACACACTAAGCTGAATGAAAAGGGTGATTTGACTAAATCTCATTTAGGTTGATAGAGTCTAAGGTATTTAAACAAAATGAGTAAAATGACAATGTACTACTGGTTTTTGGAGGTATCCACGACGAAAACAACCAAAATGTACGTAGTCGAACTCTGTTCGAGGCAATGAATTATAAACAACACACACGGTATAGATGAAAATACCTGAGTGTGAAGATGTTAACGACGCAGCTGAATCCCTTAGTCTTCTTACACTCTCAGCAGCATCCAAAGTTTCAGAATACTCTTCTGATTTTGGTTCAATTAGACTATCCCTCTTAAGGCTCAGCAGCGCATTTTCAGAGGCCTAGGTCAATGTCAACACAATGTCATACCGTCACAATAAGTCTAAGTCAAAAAACAAAACGAACACATATAATTCACAAAAGAAAGAGCAAAAGTAATGAGAGATAACCAAACTGATCATTACTTCCATATGATAAAACAGAAACTAGTCAAATTGGTAATATTCTGAAGCATCCAACCTAACAAGTAACAATTACACAGGAAGGGAGTTTATTTATCAGAGAATAGAGAGAACCTTTAACACTTCATTCTTATGTTAATTTCTCGCATTATTAGTAAAAGCAACGAGCTCATGTGATTACAGAAGGAAGATTACTAACCTTTCTTGCAATACAAGGGAATCCATGTTCCATAGACTGGACTGCAAAGTTGATCCACTCCGAATGTGAAACTCTTAACCACAAACAGCTTGTGGACTTGATCTCCCGCAAATTCAATGCCTCATACTTCATAGCTAAACAGCTCTACTACACATATCAACAACAGACTCATACATAAGCAATTCTAATCATGACCTTGTTAAGATGGTAGTCGATTAGATCAGAAGCTCAAAGATAATATTCGGAGATTATTCAGATCTAAAAGAACATCAGCACAAACCTCCGTATCACCGATAAGAGCAAAAGCACGAGCGAAGAATTCAAGTACGGAGAGCTTCGCAACGACGGATTCACCAGTGAGCTCGCTGAATACGGCAGACGATTCAGATCTCATGAAATCTCTCAGTCCGGATCTAAGATCTGAAAACGATTTCAAATTCGTAGCAACCAGAGACAGCTCGAGAATCCGAAGAGACTCTTCATCGAACCTGCGAAATTTTTAATGAGAATATTCAATATACAATCGGTTCAAAGCTTACACGAAATAGAAATTGAGATTTCAGGAGAATATAGGCGGAAAGGAAAGGAACCTTCGATCTTGAATCCGATTGAGAAAGAGGTAACTCTGAGCAGCGATCGTCGCCTCTGACATTCTTCTTCTCAGAGAGTAAATTGGCGGTTCAAAATTTTCAGTGTGCCTTTTGATTTGAATTGTATGGCTCGGCGCATTTTAATAGCTCAATTCGACGGCGCATTTTAGGAACTAAGGTAGGAACGGATTAGAATGGGCCGGGCCGTTAATAAATTTTAGATTTACGCAAGGCCCGCTCTGTATAATTGACGCTGGTTAACACCTAGAAGGCCCATTTTATGTATACGTGTAACATCTCAAACTGGCTTTTTGTTCGCAAGTATCTTCTTTGATGTTTTAAGTCGAGAGCCTGAGATCTTTATTCAAAACGTTAGCACATCACATCATCATTTTGCCAATTAGTAATGTACACGTGCCAAGATTTGCCAGTTTGGATACTTTGGAGAATATGGAAGAGTAGAAACTTATTGATCTTTCAACATAAATCGCTGCACTGGAGACTACCCTGAAACTTGCGTATGATGATGTGAAAGAATGGTGGAGTTATACGAAAGCTGGAGATAACCAGAACTCAAATCATACATTCTCACAGCTTACAAATCCTGATAGGTGGAAGAGACCATTGGATGGATGGGTAAAATATAATGTAGATGGATCTTATGTCAATGATTTGTTACCATGAAGAGTGGGATGGGTCATACGAGATAGCAATGGAAGTTATAAAGGAGCAGTAAAAACAACGGGTAAGCATATTAATAGGTCTCTTGAATGTGAACTACGACCAATATTGATGGCAACACAACATGCATGGAGTAATTATGGTAAGCATATTAATAGCTATCTTGAATGTGAACTACGAGCAATATTGATGGCAACATAACATGCATGGAGTAATAGTTATCAGAAGGTCATCATCGAGAGTGATTGTAAAAAAAGTAAAAAACAGTAGATATGTTGAATAGTCAACAACTTCACTTTCATGCTTATAATTGGAAAAGAGAGATACTATGGTGGAAGAACAAGATAGCAAGGGTTCAGTTCTTATGGGTCAAGAGAGAAGCAAATAAGGTGGCAGACAAATTGGCAAAAATGAATCTTCCAGAACAAAATTTGTATCAGTTTCATTATTATGTTCCATCTTTCCTCGCGAGTATGTCTTACATGTAGACCATATACAATCTGATTAAATCAATAAAATAAATGTTATAAAATAAAATTGTACATGTGTCTTAAATCATTAGAATATACTATTTTCACTTTTTAACACTTAACATGATATTATCTTTTTTTTTTCGATTTGTCATTTTTTACCTTTACGTTAATTTTATTAATTAAAATTCAATAATCTATCCCAAATTCTTCTTTTTATCTTTTACAATTTAACTAGGTGTTTTGCCCGCACTTGCGGGCTTAATAATTTTACTAACATCTATAAATAAATATATAATCAATTTATGTAAATTATAATAAATTATTGTTCATAGACTCAAAATATTTAATAATAAACTAAAGAAATTCTTTCTATATATAAAATTTTTCATCATCATATAAATATTTTTCATTACACAACTTATATTTGAAAATACTCATAAACTTAAAACATTTAGTAATAAATTAATATCATTTTTAGACATAACAAAAAAGTATAAAAAATTATCTTTAATGATGTTTTGGATAACACAATAAAAATTATCTATACATAAAGTCTTTGCGAACTGATTTTTCATAATTAACTATATATTAACAAATAGAATTATTTTTCAACGTTAAAAAGACTTTATAACACAATATATTGAGATTCATTTTTTAATTATCAAATTCATGAGATTCATTTTTTAATTTAGAATTAATTATATGTTAACAAATATAATTATTTTTCAAGGTTGATAAAGACTTTATCACATAATATAAAAAAAAAAATAAGGATAATTATCAAATAAATGAAATTCGTTTTTAATTTATAATTAATTATATATTAACTAATATAATTATTTTTCAAGGTTAATAAAGACTTTATAACCCAATATAAAATAGTTTTAGATAAAGATAAATCTAAAATCATTGAAATTCGTTTTTTATTTATGTTTAATTATATTAAACAAAATAATTATTCATTAAGGATATAAAAGATATTAACCGCTCTAACTTTGAACGTGAGAGCTGTGTTGCAAAAAATCATTCACAAATAATAGTATAGATTACCTAAATCACAGAAAGTTACAAATTAATCAGCAAATTCACTTAGATTTTATAATTGAAAATATATTTTTAAGATAACAATCTAATATAAAAGAATTAATATATTTTCTAAAAATAAAATATTATTAACATAAATTCTTTTTTTTTTTATAATAAATTATTAAAACATGAAAATAAGTAAAATAACCTAAAATCATGGAGAAGTTGACAACTAAGCAAAATTACTTTAAAAATAATAATTGAAAAATATATTTTTAAGATAACAATCTAATACAAAAGAATTAACATATTTTCTAAAAATATAATATTATTAACATAAATTCGTTTTTATTATATAATAAATTATTTAAACATGAAAATAAGCAAAATAACCTAAAATCATGGAGAAGTTGACAACTAAGCAAATTTACTTCTCAAATAATGTTATANTAATAATTGAAAAATATATTTTTAAGATAACAATCTAATACAAAAGAATTAACATATTTTCTAAAAATATAATATTATTAACATAAATTCGTTTTTATTATATAATAAATTATTTAAACATGAAAATAAGCAAAATAACCTAAAATCATGGAGAAGTTGACAACTAAGCAAATTTACTTCTCAAATAATGTTATAGATAACTATATACTAAATAATAAATTCGATTCTAATTAACTTAAATAATTAAAATAACATAATTTTAATACTTTTTATGTATATTCTTAGTATTTTTTTATTAAAAATACAAAAATTAATATTATTAAAATAATTACGCAATTTCAAGTTTTCAACCAAAAGAAGATTATTTAGTGATCCATTCAACCAAGATAGAAGTTTAAACACACAAAAAATGCTTGGAGGTTAATAATGGTTGATAAACAATTGAAAAGAAGTGAAAAAATTGACATTTTTCTGAATCCAAATAAAATAAGAATAACATATATTTTTTATAGTTCATAAAACATGATGATTCATTTTGACAAAATCTTTTAGCGAGTGGCGTGGGAACTTCCTTCTCTCATCAGCTTCTCACTCTTAACACATATCTATGTGGGTCCACTGAAATTTTATTTAAATTTGTTTTAGTCCTCGTTTTTTTAATTTTGAGTTTAACCACCCGGTTGTTACAACCATATCTTCATCTTTTTAAAATATTTTAAAAGGCCAATGGCTGCTAGTCTTGCAACCATATCTTTATCTTTCTCTTTTTGCTCTGAACGGTAAGAGTATTCAGGGACACAACAGCTTGTCTTTGCATCTATGGCGTCGATGCGGACGAGCAAACTTCTTCTCCTTATCTGCTACGTTTCTCTTCTCTGCTTCGTGTCATCATCATCATCATCTGATATTTCTAAGACATCTTCGTCGAAGGTCTCGCTGGGCGTGTACTATGAATCTCTCTGTCCGTATTGTTCTCGCTTCATAGTTAACCACATCTCAAAGCTCTTCGAAGACGATCTCATTTCCATCGTCGATCTCCATCTGTCTCCCTGGGGCAACTCCAAGTTCAACTCCGAGAATGACACTTTCACCTGCCAGGTCTTGCTTCCTTCTTATGATGTGTCTCTTTAATGATTATATTTATTAGGTATATATATCCCAATTCGAATATTCAATAGGACCTTAACTAATATTAAAGGGTAGACCCATTTGTTTTAAGTTGAAAGTACATAATAAATTCAAATCTAACAAAATATTTAAGCTTTATAGCGATTACAAAAAAAAAATAGTACTCCATCCGTTTTATTTTAGTTGTCATTCTAAATATTTAAGTTTTATAGCGATTACAAAAAAAAATAGTAGTTTCAAATCTAACAATATTTAAGCTTAAATATTTAGTTTTACATATTTTCAAGATAAAAACACAATTAACTATACACCTAACCACTTTTCAACTAATAAAAAAATAGAATATCATATAAACCTAATAAATTTTGAATCGAATTTTTTTCTCAAGAATGACATCTAATTCGAAACCGAAGGAGTAATAATGATTGTAGCGATTTTTTAAAACCTTGCAGCACGGTGAATATGAATGCTTCTTGGACACCGTTGAATCTTGTGTGATGGATGTTTGGCCTGAATCGGTAAGTCTAATTTGTGGCTGTCACATTTTGAAACAGAGTTATTCTGTTTTAGCATTGGGGAGGCTTAGTTGTGTGACACTTTCGTTTTTTGCAGAGCGATCATTTTCCGTTCATCAGCTGTATTGGGAGTTTGGTGCTTGAACACAAGTACGAGAAGTGGGAGACTTGTTATGAGAAGCACAATCTGAAATCGAAACCTGTTGAGGATTGTCTCAGTAGTGGACGTGGAAAAGAGGTTAGTTTCTTGGCTTTTGTGCCTATATGGACATAACGGTTCTGCAATACTGTTATAGACTCACTTTCATGTTGGATTATTTGTAGTATTTTGTTGTGCCATGTTCTTGTTTTAAAGTTTCTAAGGTTATGATTTACAGATATGTGCACTTCTCTCTAATCTTTTTTTTTTTTACTTGCTGCAGCTTCAGTTGCAGTGTGCTGCAGAAATGAATGCATTTAATCCGCCTCATAACATCCTGCCCTGGGTAATTGTAGATGGACAGCCACTTTATAAGGTTCGTTTAGTATGTTTCTTTTTAAAAGATTCTGCTTATTTCTTCTTACTAAACACTTTTATTCTCTTGTGTTATAAATGGTATCTCTATATTCAGGTAGCAGTCATATTAGATTTATGATTGATTTGGAATGTGGTTGTGCAAAACGTTGTAGTTAGTTTCTCTAAGGAATTGGGCATCTGGCAGTTCAAAATCAGGGTATTCTCGTATATGTAGTTAATCAAACGAGAAGTGAAGTGTCTCCAGGAGATACTTCATGACTTATGAAGAATGGATGGTGCTGTATAAAAATCCTATGTATCTGCTTGTGCTTGATGTTTCTTGGCTTTGAACTTACCTTTGTGTTCACTGCAGGATTATGAAAACTACATAAGCTACATCTGCAAGGCTTACAAAGGTGATAAAGTGCCTGGCGCGTGTGCCAAATATTCTTCCTTTTCCGAAGTGTCAAAGTGAAATCGCTTCTCTCTGCTCTGCTGGAAAGGAGTCATTATGTTGTGGGATTTGTTGGAACGTATAAAAACCTCTTTATTGTCGTATATGGACGTCTTAGGCCTGCTACAAACATATTCCTTTCTTTCTGTTGTGTTATGTAACATGATACCATGAAAAGTTATTTAGATTCTGAGCAATGATGAAAACTATTGTTTCAGAATATGTATGTTGGTTGGATTTTGTATGCTTGAGATAATAAATGGATCATTTAATTTCGTTTGCAAATCAAGCATGTTTTGTTGGGTTCCTCCTCGGCTAAAGCACCTGATTCGATCCAAACTGATTAGTCTCATTACTATCGCTAATGAATCTTTAGTGTTTGACTCAATGTTTTGGAGAACACAATTTGGTCTAAGTCGAAAGAGCATAATACCTAGTGGATTTAATATCTATGTAATTAAGTTGAATTGGAAAAGACAAGAAAACCATATACATAGGCACTTAAGTCTCTCATTTCTTTTGCAATAATTCTCAAAGACAAGACGTCTCTTTCCAATATTCACTTTCTTTCAACCTTTTTCAATTCTTTAACGTCTTTTTGTTGAGAGGTTTTGGCAGAGACCTACCGCTTCTCTCGTGAAGATCTTTATACAAAACGTTAGATGACTATGTTCAGTGAGGAATGTACACGTGTCTTTGATCATCATTACAACCATATCTTCATCTCTTTCGCTTTATCGAAGGTATCGAATAGTATTCAAAGACACAACAGCTAGTCTTTGCATCTATGGCAAGCAAACTGCTTCTCTGTTACGTTTTTCTTCTCTGCCTTGTATCATCATCTGATTTTTCTGGAATATCTAAACCATCTTCGTCCAAGGTCTCGCTGGACCTGTACTACGAGTCACTCTGTCCGGACTGTACTTCCTTCATAGTTAACCACCTCACAAAGCTCTTCGAAGACGATCTCATATCAATCGTCGATCTCCATCTGTCTCCTTGGGGCAACTCCAAGCTTCTCCCCGATAATGTCACCGTCGTTTGCCAGGTCTGCTTTCTATAGCTTCTTTCTTTCTTCATATTCACGAAACCGAATGTATCAGATTCGATCAAATTAAACATAGTTGTTGCTAATTGTTGCAGCACGGTGCGTTTGAATGCTTCTTGGACACCGTGGAAGCTTGTGCGATTGATGTTTGGCCTGAACTGGTAAGTCTAATGATGAGATCTAATTATTGTGTTGAGATGTGATCCAAGTTATACTCGTTTTACATGTTCTAAAAATTGGTTTAGACCTTGGCGTTCAAGAAACAAACCATTAAAAAAAAAAAGACTCTGTCTAGGCATTGTCTAGGCATACAAGAAATTATCCATAATGCCTATAAAGCGCCTAGTTACTATTTTTTAAACATTGCTTTATAGCATTAACTTCTTTTGTGAAGGCATTGTTGTGTGATAAATGGTGACACTTTTGTTTGCAGAGCGATCACTTCCCTTTCATCTACTGTGTTGAGAGTTTGGTGATTGAATACAAGTACTACACGTGGGAGACTTGTTATGGGAAGCTCAATCTGAACTCGAAACCTGTTGCTGATTGCCTCAGCAGTGGACATGGAAAAGAGGTTAGCCCTTGGCTTGTGTTTTATGGACATAACTTCCATTAAATTGCTGTTGGAATTTTAGATTCCTGTATCCATTTTACGATTCCGCCAATGGTGTGTTGTCTAGTTGAGGAAAAGAACATAGGATGATGTTCTGAGCAGTCTTTTATACTAACCATAGACTCACACTTCCATTTTAGATATGTTCTTCTTTTGAAGCTTTTGGGTTGTGATTACATTCCTTTCTAATCTTTTTTTTTTCACTTGCTGCAGCTTCAGTTGCAGTATGCTGCTGAAACAAGTGCACTGGAGCCGCCTCATAAATACGTGCCTTGGGTAGTCGTGGATGGTCAGCCACTTTATGAGGTTCGTTTACTATTTTTCTTTTTCGATATAATTTATACAAATGTAAATACTAGTTAGCTAATCTAATAAGAAAGACATGTTTTATAGGGTTATCATAGATTAGTGTGGATTGGCTATCATTTATATTACTTTATGAAATATGAGTGTTGCAATTAGCAAAATGTGGAATATTCTTGTTCTGTGAATTAGATGGGCCTATGGCAGTTTAGTTAGCAGACCAGAAGTGAGATATACGTCATGATCTATGAAGAATGGAGGCGCAGCATAAAATTTCATTGATAGATCGATAGAACAGAAGTTATCTGTATGTGTTTGTGCTTGATGTTTCTTGGCTTTGAACTTACCTCTGTGCTCACTGCAGGATTATGAAAACTTTATAAGCTATATCTGCAAGGCTTACAAAGGTGATAAAGTGCCTGCCGCGTGTGCCAAATATTCTTCCTTTTCCGCAGTGTCAAAGTGAATCGCTTCATACGATGAGTTTTATTCTCTTTCTGTTGTGCTATGTTGCATGATACCCTGAAAGGCTTATATAGTTCTGAAATATTATGATATGTATGTTTTATTATCAGAATGTAAAACGTTTCGTTTGTGTGAGTGACCTCAAGTCTTGAGTTGATAAATGGAACATTTCGTTTGCAAATCAAGCATTTGTTGGGTTCTTCCTAGGCTAACCATCTGATTCGGTCCAACGTGATCATGCACCGGTACCATCAGTAGCAGAGGAGACTATTAGAATAGTACGTAACCTGAGGACCGTGACCCACTGCTTATAATTTTTTATACGAAATTATTGGAAGGTGTACTAATGCATTGAATCGGTTTGAAAGAAAAAAAAAGATTTGTTGACACAAACATCGTTGCTCAACTTGTTAATTTGTAAAGTTTCGTTGTCAGTATGAATAAATAGAATTGCTTGTAAATGATTTTTAAACATCACATTATAGCAATTCTATTGATAGATGTCAAACACACTTATATGTACAAATTCATGATCGTCCATGAATAACCAAATATACAAGCTAGTTTTGACTTTTGAGTAGAATTTTCAAACAGATGGTATATACTATTAAGAATGTATAAAAAACGTTTCATATTCGATATGCATGTCTTTACATTTCATATGATATGAGATGAAATTTCCGCCACATTTTTTTTTGTTTTTTTCTGGAGACGGCCGCCTAGCGCCTGATGATGGGTCCATAAATGTTTGCTCTAGACTTCTAGACGTCTCCGATCAAAAGGAAATGTAATTAATGTAACCTAATTGGTTACAACCTTACAGATATATATATATATATATATATATATATATATATATATATATATATATATATTCATAAATAATAATTGAGTAAACTAACATGGCTTGGCTGTTGGCTCGTCCTAATCAAAGATCATGTGGTGATCAGGAACAAAACAAATTTAGATCATGATTTTCAAGAACCACAAGTTCTGTCTAACCTATCTTTAATTAATAAACTAGGGCAAAAACTGTCTCAAAATATATAGAGTCGTAAAACAATTGCTAAAGTTCCAAATTGGCTAAGGCGACATTTTATATAAATATCTCAAGCTAACGGTCACGGCACTCTTCGGTCTTGTCCTGGTTAACTAAAAGCTACGTTCATTACTGGCGTCAAGAAAATAAGCCTACTCCGATTATTTCATTATTGTTAACTAAAGCACATATATGGTTTTAAGACATCGTGAAAAACAATTGTGGAGGCCTCATGTTGGTCGGATATCGTGATAAACAATACTGTCTCAACTCTCACGAGGCGCGACCTTGTTCTGTTCATGTGACTTTTACCATCTTTCCAAGGTTATTTACGTACACGTGCGTGTGTGTGTATCTTAAAACGCATACGTACACTTGCTATTCACGAGAGTATATAGCTAAAAAATAAACATGTAAACCAAAAGACATAACTGGAGATAGTGAGTTATTGTTTTTCTGAAACACTTTTTTTTTTTGAAACACAGAGATAGTGAGTTATATATTTGGCATTTTGTAAAAGTATATAACGTAAAAGAGAGTATTATACAAATGTTTTAGAAAATGCTAAGTCGTTTAAATGCATATACCGATGTATATGACATGATTCAAATAACCTCCACCTGGGGGTTAGGTACGTGTCTTTAATAGACCCGAGTTTAACCCTTTTAGTTACAAAAAAAAAAAAAGATTGTATACAGTATACGAATACTTACCTCTTTCGTACTATTTATAAATACACACGCAAGCTGAAAGAAACCTCCATCCAACTCTTGTAATCTTCATCTTATTCTCTCGTTGACTCCTGAACTCTTCAATATATACACACGTTAAATTAAATTCCATGATTGTTTAGATGATACCGTTCGATCACTAAAGCAAGATCTTAATAATTCGGTTAACCATAGAAATTTCTTAATAACTCTTATAGAAAATAAAATACATTATAGTACGGCACAAAGAAGGTGTGAGTTCCATGCTTAATATAACAAAGAAAACTAATTTAGATGATATAATAATATTATTTAAGGCGGTACAGCTTCGGCCACAGACGGATCACTGACGTTACAACCACCACCTCCTTCACTTTGTCTCGACGGAGCAACGTCAATTCTAGCTGTGGTAACAGTTGCTGGCCGTTTCCGTTTCTTCTTCTCGTAAGGAATCCCACGTGCCTTGGCTTGACTTTCTCTGACTTCTCTCAAGTAAATCCTCACCGCACGTGCGGCGAACGGGTTAGAATCTGGCCTCCCACCGTGCTCCTCGTACGCAGCTCTCAACCGTCCGATCAGAGCATCGAGAGATCCCCAGGCTTGCTTGAGAGGACAAGCGCAAGGAGAGGGAGGTTGCTGATGTCCGAAGTAAGGACAGGTCGCCACGTGGACTTTGGTCTTACCGAACTGATCTAGGTACTTGAGGAACTCGATCACGTGCGCTCCGCTACAACGAGATAGCGCGAGTGGCGGCTTGTGGTTCTTGAGGTACTGCAAGAACGTGTTCCAGTCACGTCGTTTTTGCGACTCGTACCTGCTAGGAGGTGTCACCGGCGGTGAAGAGGCCGTTACGGAGGACGGACCCGGATCACCTCCATGTTGTTGTAACCCTGAATCAGTCGGTTCCATCAAAACTAGGGTTTTTTTTGTTTTGTTTTGTTTTGAGAGAGTTTTGTTTAGCGTTGGTTTTGAGAATATAGAGAATCGAGAATTTAGTGTTGTGTTTTAAATGAGAGAGAGAAAAATGAGAGAAAGAGTGTGAAGTATTGTTAGGTTTTGGGGTTTTATTTATTTAATTTACAAGACCATTAAAAGAGGAAAAGTTTTGCGTTTTGGGTTGAATGGTGTGAATTCTGAAAGAAGTAGAGAATGAGGAAAGAAGAGTGGAAATACAGAAATTCAAGAAACTAAATCACGTGGCCATGGCCCTACTCACGAGCCACTTGATACTTTTACTATTCTATTTAGGTCAAGTGTGGGCCAATTCTTAAATCTTTATAACATTTTTAATTATATTGATACCATAATTATTAGGGGAAATTATGTCTATAGTTATCAGAATTATAAGCCAATAAGGAAATGTCAAGTATGGAAAATAACTCTGAATGTTGTAAATTAAATTGTTTAAACTCTTTTTTGGCTTCAATATTGTTTTGAAACTATTTAGTTAAAAATTTAACGAAGTTCAATCTTTCTCTCTTGGCCATTTCCAACCTCGCTAGTTCAAACGCATATATGTTACAGTGTACTTATTAAAAGATGGAATGGGCCACCGTGTTGAATGATATCACTAAAAAGACTGGTTATTTATATGGAATCTGACAAACATAAACTGATAAAAGTTTGAGAATTCAGAGTCGAGTACATCTCCACCATCCATATATAGAAAAAATAAGAACTGTTTGGGCCCGCGCGCTCTGCACTACATATGCGTACGTGCGTGTGCTTGAAAGTTTTTAAATATTCTTGCATTTTGATTTCTCTTTTTCTTAATACAAGTATAGAGAAGTCACATTATATGACATCCCAGTTACCTAGCTTGTATTTACAGGTGCCAAAATTCATGGGCTTTTCGGAACAAGAATGATCGAGCCAAATGTTTCTTACTGACCATCCTGTTTGAATCTTCTTCAGTGAAAAACCCTACTATTAAATCTATGTAACATGTTATTTTATTTATTTATGGATAGAGGTAGGTCAAACTAGCATGGAGACGTGTTTTTTTCTTGTTTCTTAGACTAAATGATTCTTTTGTTCTTCTATGGCTTCAATGAGTTTTAGGTTCGCGCATAATTAATTAATTTTTTTTTTGAGATAAATCCTATCGGCTGATCCGACCGGATCAAGAATAGACTAGTCCGAAAACATACCACATTGTCTTACCCGAATTTGAAGTACCTTCTAACTAATGCCATGAGGTGGGCCGATCATCTGTTACAACCGCGCATAATTAATTATGGCTACATATTTTCCAGTGTATTGTTATTTGTTTGCTTTATCCAATAATTCAATAAGAGATTAGGTACTGTTCTTTTGAACGTATACACCATATTATGGTATGCCCATATTGTCAAGATGTAACATTTATATATGCATTGCAGTTTCCCTTGTTTTTATTAAAAAACGATTAGTCTTATATCAAGATTATGCACAGAATGAGTCCTATATATGGGTAAAATTTTGTGCATGACGATCCGGATTGCCCAACGAGTCATCCCTAACCCTATTATTCAAGCAGCGAGTGTATAGCAGGCGAGGACTTTTACAGGTCAGTCTAACATATCAATTAAATTTTTACCATAGAAATCCATTAAGTTAGTTTGATCAGTATTCCACATAGTTCCAGTTACATATCAATATGTTTGATAATCTGTCACTATAGTACAATATAGATTTTCGGGTTTACATGATTTGATAGGGATATAGTTATTTTTACACCAACGATCATTTTAATAGTTTTCCTTCATAAAACATACAAATATATATAATTCTAATACATATAAGACTTCCGGCTTTATAAAGATTAAACTAAAATACGTAACCTGTAAAGCGTAATTACATTATATTGAGTCATGAATTTATTTTGTTTGCAATATGCCCTTGTCCATACTTGTATTTATATTCTGGCGATGTCCTTTTAATTCAATGCAGTTTGAAGTTATATATGTATCGACGGTATACAGCTCTGCTTGAACTAGGGTTTTATACAAAAAAGATCTACATCATATTTAATTTTACTAATCTGTTTTTCCCAAAAAAAAAATTGAAATATTAATTAGTTAGTATATTAACGTTGAAGGTATTGTGTCGTTTGTTTTATTCCATTTGTCTGTTTCTTACTCACTGCACATCTTTTTATTCTACCGTGGAAAATTCAAAACCATAATATGTAGCGAAAAATGAAAGAGCAAAATGATCAGGATCCGATGCTTATTGTCTAGCACTAAAATAATTACTTAATTAAGATGCCATAGAAGTCAATGATGTAGCCCCTACAATGTGTGTATAAACAATAAAAATATGAATAGAATGATAAAATTAAATTCAAATTATTGGTTGTTGGTGCTTACGACCCACCACCCACACACATCAATATCTTTATAACGACTATTCAATCTCATTTTTGTTGCCTGGTGGATGGTGA